GGCCTCACTCTTGACGAGCTGCTCATCTTAGCCCTCTTTTTTTTTCTTTTTAGTTTTTTTAGTTCTCTGTTTAAATGTCACTGTCTCAGCTCTTTGTTTTCTTCCTAATTCTCTCTGCAATTTGTCATGGCTGAATTTCTCTGTATGCTTATGCCACCTCTGTCTCCATCATCTCTAGGACTGTATGTCTGTTCTACTTATTGTGGTATCCGCTGCCTCTGGCACCTGCCCGAGCCTCTATTTATATTTGTTGAAGGATGAATTTTTGACTTAATAAGTTAGATACGATAGATACACATGAGAAGCTACTAAGATAGCCTAACATAATTTTCAATAAGTAAAAAGCACAGTTGATTACTCTTGGGAGTAATTAAGAGATCAGAATGGGTTAAAGCCAATCAGAGAACATTTCAGGGAAGAAATTGAGCATGAGCTGAGTTTTAAAGAATGAATGAAATATGAAGGAAGGAAGGAAGGAAAGAAGGAAGGGAGGGAGGGAAGGAGGGAGGAAGGGAGGGAGGGAGGGAGGGAGGGAGGAAGAAGGAAGGAAGGAAGGAAGGAAGGAAGGGAGTGAGTTTCCTGTAACGTGTCCCTGGTTGACTCCAACATGCTTGCCAGTCCCAGTGTCTTTCTCTATTCTCCTGGGCTGTCCTGTCTTCCCCCCATCCTGTGGGCTACTCTGGCCAGTTTATAGGGTTTGTTACACCTGCCTATGTCACTCTTTCTTTGTTATTGTCCTTGTGCCTCCATTGTCTCTTTTTCAATGAACACTCAGCATATCAATGCCTATCATTACACCTAGCCCATAGTACATACTCAATATTTGTTGAAAAAACACGTGTGCCTGGGAGCTGTTCTCCATGCTTCCGGGATCACTCTTTCTCAGATATTTGGTCTCTGCCATAGAGACTAAGCATGTACTCCAAATCCTTGAATAATAATTTTTTTTTTTTTTTTGGGGCCAGGGGTTGGGTTTGAACCTGCTACCTCTGGTACATGGGATCAGCACTCTACCCCTTTGAGCCACAGACGCTGCCCCAAATCCTTGAATAATTATTAACAAGTGGTTCTCTAAGATTTTTACTTAACAAAGCTTTATTGCATGTCTTCTATATTATAGGACTTATACCGGCTACAAAGGACGAGTCCAACTATTGTGAGACCCATGTTAACACATAATGGTAAATAACAAGTTTTGATTTATGTACAAAGTGAACACTGTGGATGGAAAATTGACTGTCTATGTGTGTTAGAGAGGCTCCTCAGAGTAGAGGGGAGAAAGTTAGAATTGAATCTTGAGGGATAAGTTGTGTCCTCGGGACAGGTTGGGGTGAGGGAGTTTTTAAGGGAGTGGGGTGAATAGCATTTCTGATAAATGGAATAACAGGGGCAAAGATAGTGGTAGTGGAGCTGAAACAGTACACTGGGAGCGCAGCAAAGAGTAAGAGCAGAGGAGTGCTTGCCCCAGAGAAAAGGGGCAAGACTGGATTTCAGGGAGGATAGCTAAAGAGCTTTGTTTTGGTCTATTCTATAACAGAATACCAGGGACTGGGTAAACGATAAACAACAGAAGTTTATTTTGCTCTCAGTTCTGGAGGCTGAGAGCCCAAGATCAAAGGATGACATCTGGCAAAAGCCTTTCTGCGGGTCATAACGTGGTAAAAGGCTTCATATGGTGAGAGAAACTGCAAGAAAAAGCCAAGCTCACTTTTTAACCAACCATCTCTGGTGATAACAAACGTACTCCTGTGATGCGGATATTAATCCCTTCATGAGGGTAGAGCCCTCATGACCTAATCACCTCTTAAAGGGCCCATCTCTTGACACTATTCCATTAGGGATTGAGTTTTCAATGCATGAACTTTGAGGGATACATTTAGATCACAGAAAGCTCTCATGGATACCAGTCTGTAATAGGCATTAAAATAAAAATTTGATGCCAATTAACTCGGCCACTTGTAGTACATGACATAAACTTGAAACCAAAATTGGTCCTATTCCCTGGAGGTAAAACAGTGCCCTAGAATGTTAAAACATTCTCCTGGCTGGCAATTCTAATTATCTGATGTTATATTCAGCGCATATAATAAATTCCTTTTTTTTCTTTTTTGAGACTGAGGGTCACTCTGTCATGCTGAGTAGAGGGCTGTGATGTCGTATTTCACAAGAACCTCAGACATGAGCTCAAGTGACCCTCTTGCCTCAGCCTCCCAAGTAGCTGGGATTATTGGTGCTCACCGCAACACCCAGCTAGTTTTTCCATTTTTATTTTATTTTATTTATGTTATTTATTCATTTATTTATTTATTTAGTCTCATTATGTCGCCCTCAGTAGAGCGCTGTGGCATCACTAGTTCTTCTATATTTAGAAGATATGGGATCTTGCTCTTGTTCCAGCTGATCTTGAGATTTGCAATGCTTACTAATAGAAAATCAGGTTCCTTTTGAACCCATCCTGAATAGATATTTAAAGAAAATTGACCAGTTGTGGTGGTTTATGTGAGCCTGTACTCTTAGCACATTGGGAGGCCACAGTAGGAGGGAGGATCATTAGAGCCTAGGAGTTCCAGACCAGCCTAAGCAACATAGGGAGACCCATTGCTACAAAAATTAGAAAAATTAGTCAGGCACGGTGGCATGTGCCTATAGTCCTAGCTACGCAGGAGGCTAAGGCAGGAGGATCACAAGAATTTGAGGTTGCAGTGAGCTATGATTCTACCCTCGTCTGGGCAACAGAAAAAAGAAAGAAAACTGGCCTATTTATGCATTGTCCATTTACTAGCTTTTTGGTAATGCACATATTCCTCCAATAAGCCCTGTCAGGAGGACTCTAGGTCCCCTCTCCCATCTAAACATGGGACTGTTCCATTTACCTAGGTAAGTTGAAAATATTGCCTTGTGTGGGTGCCCCAAAGAGTCTATGATAAGTAAATATTGTTAATTAATTATGTGTTCAGCAACCCAGATAACCTATTTTGGTACTTTTGAAAAAACTTTAAAAAATTTTTAATTATTATGGGCACATAATAGTTATACATCTTTATAAGGTTCATGTGATGTTTTGATACAGGCACATAATGTGAATTAATCTGATCAGGGTACCTGGGGTATCCACAACCCCAGGCATTTAACATTTGTGTTAGAACACTTCATTTTCCCTTGTTTAGTTATTTTAAAGTATACCTGAACTTGTTGATTATAGTCATTTTGTTATGCGATTTGGTAGTCTTTTCTAATAATTTTTGTCATTGTTGTTAGGAGTTTTAAAGGTAAAACTTGACTGTCCCTGCTTCAGAACCACCATAGTCTCCTGAATATTCCTAAACTTGGGAACTTTCATATTCTGCCCAAAGGTTCTGTATACATCTTCTGTACATTGAACAGGCTTTAAAATTGGTGTTCAGAAATATAGTCTATGAAGCCAGGTATAGGTTGTGTCTCATGCCTACAACCTAGCACTCTGGGAGGCTGAAGCAGGAAGATCCTCTTTCAGGCCCAGATTTCAAGACCAGCCAGAGGAAGAGTGAGAAAAAATTAGCCAGGTGCAGTGGTATGTGGCTATAGTCCCAGCCTCTCTGGAGGCTGAGGCAGGAAGATTATTTAAACCCAGGAGTTTGAGGTTGCTGTGAGCTAGACTGACGCCACAGAACTCTAGCCCACGTGACAGAGCAAGACTCTGTGTCAACAGAATTATAGTCTATGCCAGCAACTCCCTAAAGTAATGTGTAAACTTTAAACCATTACTGAGATGGGACACTAAAGGTCCTCAAGGGGGATGGAGGCCCAGCCTGCAGAACCAGGAAGTCTGGAGGGCACATAAGAATGTGGGTATGAAGTGACCTAGATAACCAATGACCAGAAGAAGACAGCAATAATTTCCGGAGTTGCAGAGAGGCCAATGAAAGACTTGCAACCAGTTTCATAGGGAGAAAAAGAAGGGGTATTTATACCTCTGAAAAGCTTTGCAGCTCTCTCTCTCCTATTCTCCACCGTGAGACGGACGGCTTCCAATTCTCTTTCGAAGTGCTCTAAACTGTTTCTTTGTTCCTCTTAAATAAAAACTTCTCTTTGTTATATTGAAACTTGTGCAGGTTACTTTTACTTTCTTTTCACACACCCTGTGCTACTTCATTTTATTTTCTTTTTCCATTCATTTTTGCTTTCAGTTATCATCGGGCCTCGGTTGAACTTTTTAGCTCAGCCGAGTCATCGACCTGGGTCAACTGGGTTCGGGAACCGGGACCCGCCCCGACCCCCAACAATTACTGAGTATCCATTAACTTTGCATTGCTTCTTTTCTTGTCTGTTGGACCTAAAACAAATGATTTACCCTTTCTGTGCTTCCGTTTCTTCGTGGGGAACAGTAATAACACGAACTCCTGCTCTATAAGTGTATTGAAAAATAAATAAGATAATGCACGTAAAGTGCTTAGCGCAGCCCTGACACCGCAGCAAGCGCTCCTGGGGAGACGCACCGTGTTCCTCATCTGCGCGGGGCTCTCACCTCGTCTTCAGGGTGGCCCCGCCCAGGTCCGGGGCCCCGGAACCTGAGCGAGCAGGGTCTTGCAGAGGAGAGTGGGTAGTGAGAGGGGTCAGAGGGCAAAGGTCAGAAGGCAGTTGGTTGAGGCAGTGCGCAGAGGAAGCTGAAGCGAGGTCCCTGGAGCTCGGTTGCCCTGGCGACCTCATCCACACGGATCGAGTAGCGGGAAACCTCCCTGCGGCCTCTTCCTTTCTCCCGCCCTCCCTTTGGTTTAGTTCCGCCCCCTTCCCCCTAGAGGTGCGCAACAGACGCCGACGCCCACGCGGTTGCCTAGCGGCACACTTTTCCCAAGATGCCCAGGGTGTTGTGTTCCTCTTAGCCAATCAGAGAGGCGCAGCCGCCTCACCTCCTGCCAATAGACTGCGAGACCAGGCCCGCGGCGGTTAAACCGGGCCGGAGGCGGCTGCGGCGGGTCTGCGCCGCTTGGAGGCTGGCCGGGGACCCGCATCTGGAGCTGTGCGGCGCGACCTGGGGAAGGTAGCACGCGTCCGGCGGCGGACCCAGCCATGCCGTCCCGGGTGGAGGACTATGAAGTGCTGCACACCATTGGCTCAGGCTCTTATGGTCGCTGTCAGAAGATCCGGAGGAGGAGTGACGGCAAGGTTAGCGTGGGCTGGGTCCCGGTCTCCCCCTGCTTCGGTTTCGTCAGCCCAGGGGCGAGCGCCCTGCGCTGCGGAGAAGAGCCGAAAAGGCCTGTGGTAGTGGGTGCCCGGAGGACTCCGCCATCTCCCCTGAGTACGTGTCTGACAACCTGCCCTTGGTCGCTCACGCATCACCTTATAAAGTGAATACCTTATAAAGATGTACAACTGTTACGTACCTGTAATAATTACAAATGATTTTTTTCAAAGTTTGAAGAAAGTACCAAATAGGCTATCCGGGTTGCCGAACACATAATTAATTGACCATACTTATTTATCATGGACTCTGCATCATTTACTCAAGGGATGGGGGACTGCGTCTTTTGATTACATATACATAATCAAAGATATATATCCCCCCCAATCTATTTCCGTTTCTCTCCCAATTCCTCTCCTTTTCCTGATTTGATTTATGCTAAGTGCCTGCACTTTGTGACAGGTAGTTAAACTCCTGGACTATTTGCAGAGAACAGTCGCCCTCTCAGACGAGAGAGAGGTGGCAGGAGCACCAGAATCTGAAGCTTTGTATCTGCTGTTAGAGCTGATTTTAAATACTCATTATTCCAATTATTGGATTCCCGCTTCCGGATATGTGGAGGTAGATGTTTTACAGAAAGAAACATTGGAGAGGAAGTGGCCTGGCTGCTGCTGAAGAGATCTTTACTGAGGTCTCTTCAGTAAAGAGACCTTAAGTTTATTGCATTCAGATGATAATGACCTTAATTGTAAGATATGTTTAAAAGGGAGGTAATTTTTAAAATTTTGAAATTTTTGTCCTTTGTTTTTGAGCATAACGAGTTCACTGGGAAAGCACCACTGGTGGGAATGGTCAGGGATTTTGACCACCTCTACCCCAGTTTTGACCAAAGTACCTTTTTGCCAACCTCCCACCAAGCGACTGAGGATAGGCGTTAGGGAAGGCTTCATGTGCCTCACCCCCTCCACAGTGGAAAACACTCAGGGCTCCTTAAGTTTATTGCACTTAGATGATAATGACCTTAATTGTAAGATATGTTTAAAAGGGAGGTAATTTTTAAAATTTTGAAATTTTTGTTCTTTGTTTTTGAGCATAACGAGTTCATTCATGCCTTGGAAATTTTTATTTCAGATGTTGGTTTGGAAAGAACTTGACTATGGCTCCATGACAGAAGCTGAGAAACAGATGCTTGTTTCTGAAGTGAATTTGCTTCGTGAACTGAAACATCCCAACATTGTTCGTTACTATGATCGAATTATTGATCGAACCAACACAACACTGTACATTGTAATGGAATATTGTGAAGGAGGGGATCTGGCTAGTGTCATTACTAAGGGAACCAAGGAGAGGTAAATGTTTTTTTTTTGTTTTTTTT